TTTGCCTTGTCGCTATCATGCCAAGGCACCAGAATTGGTCGAGGTTCTCTACGCCGGTTGGATTCGAACCAAGGGTTACCCCAAGGAAATCGTCTACGACCGCGACACTCGGTTCATGTCTGATTTTTGGTTGGCACTCACCAAACGATGGGGCTCATCTCTCAAGCCTAGTTCAGCTCGCCACCCTCAGACGGATGGCCAGACGGAGAGGGCGCACCAGACGGCACAGGTTCTTCTGCGCACTCTCATCCGTCCCGATCAGAAGGATTGGGTTGAGCGGCTGCCGGATGTCGAATTGGCCTACAATTCGTCCATCCACCCGGCTATCGGGATGTCGCCTTTCGAGTTTGAGCATGGCTCTCCGGTCACTTCTCCGCTGGACACCATCGTTCCACGCACGGCCGAGAGCGACGACCATCTCCTTTTCTTGCGCCGGATGCAAGAGCTTCTTGTCAAGGCACGCAATCAGATGGCAAAGACGCAGCAACGCATGAGCCAGCAGGCCAATCGCCAGCGTCTTCCTTGTCCATTTCGCGTCGGCGACCATGTGTGGATTTCCGCCGTGGAATTCAGCCTTGAGCAGGATATCTCTCGCAAGCTCCTCCCGAAATGGATGGGCCCATGGCCGATTGTAGCACCTGTTGGGGATGCTCCTGAGGGACCGTCCTTCACAGTTCAGGTGCCCGCCCACTTACCCGGCTACCCGCTTTTCCATTGCTCCAAGTTGGCGCTGTACACACCAGCAGACCAGGATGACTTTCCCGGGCGACGATCTCAAGACCCACTCTCTATGGACGACTTTCAGGAGGTCGGTGACATCATTTCCCAGCGACGATACGGCAACAAGCCGACCGAGTATCTTGTACACTTTGCGTATTGCACCCACCGAGCCGACCGCTGGTTGACCCGTGCGGAACTCCAAGCGACAGCTCCAGATGTTCTCGTACGGTATGAACGAAAGATGCAAGCCAAGCCGGCATTTTCGGCTCCACGCCGCAACCGCGTCCAGGTTCCACCTTCAGATCATCGGCTGCGCCCYCGACCCGGCTTGACTTCATAAGGAGGGGGGGGTGTTACATGCTGCGCCTGCACACGAGGGCCATTTTCCAGGCCCTGCGTCGTTCAGGTTGGAAGCCTGAATTTCATGCTCAAGGCCTGGAAATAAGGGCCTGCAGACCCCAGGACGGTTCAGCCCAAAAGTCGGACATCCGGAGCCCACAGGCCCTGCATCGTTTCAGCCTAAAAAAGGCCTGAGCCTTTTCAGCCTGAAACTGAGGGCTATTCCCGGGCCTGCAGAACCCATGACGG